CCATCTTCAGTTTCAGAGTTGCTATCCTCCCATGGAATTACTGTTTAAAAAACAAACTTCAATCTGCTTTCTGAAATGACTTTGTCGTGTTTAATAGCAACTATTTCTGATTCTGACTACGTGTAAGAACTATAGTCTAAGCTTCCTGTAAACTTTTAGAAACTTGAACGTTCTGGCTGAGACTGGTTTGGCTCAATGGATAGAGCGTCGGCTTGAGGACTGAAAGGTCCCAGGTTCGATTCTGGTCAAGGGCATGTACCTTGGTTGCGGGCATATCATCCCCAGTAGGGGGTGTGCAAGAGGCAGCTGATCGATGACTCTCATCGATGTTTCTAACTCTCTTCTCTCTCTCCCTTCCTCTCTGTACAAAATCAATAAAATATATTTTTTTAAAAAACTTGAACGTTCTGAAGATCCAATACCAGAATAGGTGACATTTGCCCACTATAGTTATTTTTTATTTGCATTTTAGAAGATGTTTAAAAGTTTTCAAGGGCATGTGTATGGTTGTAGGCTCAATCCCCTTGCAGGATGCAGCCAACTGATGATTCTCTCTCACTGATGTTTCTCTCCCCCCCCCCTTTTCTTCTCTGAAATCAATTTAAAAAATACATTTTTTTAAAAACTGCAGGAGTCAACTCTCTTCTATCAAAGAAGAAACTGAGTCCGAGTCCCCAGTGATGAAAAGACATAGCAGTTAATGTGATTGTGTGGCAACTTCTAAATGTGTCTTCAGGTTCTGTGTACAGTGTGAGCCCTTCACCGGTCTTCCTAAGAGCATTTCTCACACCCAGTGGAGAGGGAGGGGAGGGCATTATCGGTGCACCAGTAGGTCTTCAGGCCCTCGCCTTTAGGCCTGGGCCTCTTACCTAATGGCCCCGGCCACTGGCGCTGAAAAGGAAGCCTGCCATCTGAATGGCACACTAACTGCAGCCGTGCACACAGTCACAGAGTCATTGTTTTAAATTGTTTTAATTGAAATGACAACAAAATAAAAATGTAAAACAACAGTTGACCATTTTAATCGAACTTTTACTGTAATTACAAATATAAAAATATAACCAAAACTGCAGTTTCCTTTTACACATTTTCTGTATATTTATACGAGAAAACTTAATATGAGAAAAATTCTCCAAGCCCAACTATAAATGATGTCTGCACTCTAGGATGTGAACACAAAACCAAAAGCTTATAAATGTAGTGATCTTTCCCTCAACATTTCCCCTCTATGACTCTAGTCTAACAATACAGTCCATCATTAAAATACAAACTACACCTAAACTGGCTCAATCTAGACTGACTTGGGCCTTAGTCTATTGTTTTTGTCTTTTTTTTCACCAAAAAAAACCTTATAAATATAACAGGAGTTAATACTAAAGTATCTTTTATGGCTGAAGTGAAAATTATAGTAGTATGTTTCTCGTCACATATTTAATAACAAAGGGAATCAAAGTGAGTCCATTTTAACCCAAATAAGTGATAGAAACGAGTGGAATAATTACAGGAGATGAAACCTAATGTTACAGAAGATGACTTGCATTACAGTCAAAAACCACTAACCCTCTCTGGCAAAGCACATTCTCTGACACAGTCTTAGTGATGGGCACATACTGTCCCCAGCACTGTAAACTAGTGAAAACATTAAGTCTGAGGGGCTCCAATGTGAAAAGCTACACCATCATTATCTCAAATGACTGAACAAATAACTTAAAAAATAAAAAAAGTCATTAAAAACCTGGAAGCAGGAGTCACATCATTTAAGAAAGAGAATTTTTAACTGACTGCTTGCTGGCCTGCTGAATCTGGAGGGCCTCTATCTCTCACTTCTAATTAATTATGGAAGGAAAAAAATAGGCTAATTTACTTTAGCCAAACAAAATGCTCCCTTAAAGGAACTCTTAAATATCCAAAGTAATAATTGAGCCACACAATGCTAGTTACAAGGTAAGATAAAAAATCCAGACCAGCTCTGAAAAGCGCCAATTCCTAGATTATCATAAGCCATTTTAAGTATTACCTACATTTTAAAAAATCACAAGTCTTGCCCTGCCCTGTTTGGCTCAGTAGATAGAGCATCGGTCTGGGACTGAAGGGTCCTGGTCAAGAGCAGGTGCCTAGGCTGCAGGCTCCTTACCGACCTGGGCCCTGATCAGGACTCGTGCAGGAGTCACCAATCGATGTGTTTCTCTCACATCGATCAATATTTTTCTCTTTCTCTCTCTCTAAAAATCAATGGGGGGAAAATATCCTCAGGTGAGTATTCAAAAATAAAATAAAATAAAATAAATCACACATCTTGACCACTTAGAAAAAAATTCATTTTTGTTCAAATGGGTTTTCAATGCTAAATAAATATGATTTAAAACATTTGAGTAATGTTTTTCCCCCCTCAATCTTCTAATGAATAGTTCCCGGTGTCATTTAGTAGTTTTATATAAAATATATATTGTACTACTTGGATTATTCAGGAAAAATAATATGACAAATATTATAGTTATACAATACAAAAGAACATGCATTTATAAACAAACCTGAACATAGAGGGCAGTCAAAAATATGTCAGTTAATCAAGAGCTCATTTAAAAACTATGCAGTATTTAGTATGTAGAGACTTGGAATGCACAATTTAAGACTTAGTTCTTGAAGAAGTGTGGTATGTTTATTTATCCAAGACCTTACTGTTAAACAGTGTCCTTGAACCCTCTTCCAAAGCTGTAAGAATACATCATATTTAAACATCCCTATTTTCCGGTCAAGGGCATGTACCTTGGTTTCGGGCATATCCCCAGTAGGGTTGTGCAGAAGGCAGCTGATCGATGACTCTCTCTCATCGATGTTTCTAACTCTCTGTCTCTCTCCCTTCCTCTCTGTACAAAACCAATAAAATATATTTAAAAACATTAAAAAATTAAAAAATTAAAAAAATAAACATCCCTATTTCCTTCCAGAAACCATAAGAGTGCGGGGATACAACTACAACTAACCAGTTCAAATGCAGTTTGAAAAATTTATGTTTGTGTGTTATGAATATTACATTCAAACCCAGATCTCTGAGTCCAAGGTTAGTCATCCAGCTGGCTTAAGTGAAAGATTTTTCTCACCTCGACCCCAGTGTACGGATGACTGACTCAAGTACTGATACTGGAAAGCAGTGATTAAAGAAGAATTTCTAGGTCAGAGCTTAAGTTACAAAGGACATGAGTGGCCTCAAATCAGATGCCTCTTCAATTCACTCCTTTGCTGACAGCACTTTAAAAATTACGCACACACACACAAAAAGGCTACCCCTTTCCACCCACCCCAAGTGGCAAGAGCTAACGTGGTCTGGAATGTGGTCGCTTGAGGCTTTTCCCTTGGGTTCAGAAGCAATCATGGAAAGTGGGCTGGATCCAGCAGTTTCCAACTCTGCCTTGCCCAATGTTTTAGGACTCAGCTAATCGGTGAGTTCACCAATAAAGTAATTATTTAGAAATATGCTAGTGTAAACCAGAGGGCAGGACCGTTAGCCCTTGCGGGAAGAGGACCATCCACAGAACTGGGGCTTTTTCGAAGGACACTGCTCATTTTGGTCCCGGAGTGTGGAGCTCACCTACCTGAACAGTGAAGTGACCCGGTTAGTTACTATTTGATACGCAACCAGGTGAAGGTTTGACAGGACCTCAACTAAGTGAATTCGAATGTTCATAAATAAAATTGCCCAGGCACTCTTGGTCTGACTTTCTCAAGTCTAAATAGAGAAAAACATGATACAGCTTTCACATCAGAATAGCCGTAAGTTATAAGAACCAATCAACAGTTCCTCTCTATTAAAAACTTAACTTGCCGCCGAAGCCGGTTTGGCTCAGTGGTAGAGCATCGGTCTGCGGACTGAAGGGTCCCAGGTTCGATTCTGGCCAAAGGCATGTACATTGGTTGCGGGCACATCCCCAGTAGGGGGTGTGCAAGAGGCAGCTGGTCGATGTTTCTCTCCCATCGACGTTTCTAACTCTCTATCTCTCTCCCTTCCTCTCTGTAAAAAATCAATAAAATGTATTTAAAAAAAAAAAAAACTTAACTTGCCAATCTCTTTTAATACCTGTATCTTGCAAAATTTCCTTTGCATTAAGCCTACAGTAAACAAGTTTGTAATAGGCATACACAATATATTTTGACCATTAAGAAACAGCACAGCCAGCAAACTGCCTTAAGATTTGTTTTTTTATTTCTTTAATTTGACATTAATTTAGCGATATTTTTAAAGTTTTTAAAATTTGTTGTTTTTCTCTTAGGCTGACAAAAATCTATCCCCTATCCTGTCCTTAGATTTCGGATTACTCCAACATTAATTTGGAATATAACTTCTCCACTGGGTCAGCTGCTAAAATCAAATTTTCATCTCTATAGATACAACTTCAAGTTAATTGAAATAACTAACTTTGCGATCCAAGAGTTCAAAATCTAACTCATTCACTTTCATAAACTTCCATCACAGATGGCCATTTTACCATGGCCCTAAGAATAACCAAGACACAAATTCAGAACAGCACAAATAATTAATACCCTGATTGTGTGAGAAAACTCTCTAGATTCTTCTCTTTTTATGCCAATCCCCCTGATTTTCCCAAACCTACCCCATTTAATGGTTCCCCTTATGTTTAAGGTCCATTGTTTATAAAGTAAGGTCTGGCCGAACCGTGTGAAATGTACCAGTCGTTAACATACTGGCATTTCGGCTGTAATACAGCGCATCAGAGTGTAGAGTTTGGTACAGGAGTTGCACCTTGGAGTTCAAGCCAATCCAGTTCCCAAAAGTAACAGAAGATCCTCATCACAAAGATCTCTGCATGGCCTTGGAGTGTACCCTCAAGAGTGGTCCCCTGACAAGGGTCCCCTAAACCTGACCTAAACCTGCCATGGTCTCTGAACACTCACCAGCCTAAGTGGGGAGAAAAACACCATACCATCCTCACCTGTAACAGTTTTACAAGTTTAATGTGAAATTAAAAAAAAATACAAATAGAAAGAAGTCCACTTTTTTTTAATGTACAAAAACGTATGAGTAGAAACAAAAGCAAATTAAACATTATCACATATGTTTTCACCACTATCTAGATTCTTCATATCAACATTACTGTTCAAACAAAAGAAAGCAGGTGGCAATTTAGGGCGTGGGAAAGAGAGAAAACAAAACACCTTTCTTTTCTACCATGTTTTTCTAGACTGTGCGGAGCTGTGCTCACAGAGACGGCTTCTTTTACTTCTCCGCTGCTCAGGAATTCAGTTGTATATAAAATTGAACCTGAATTTTAAAAAGAACAACGGCTTTATTAAAAACAATGTTCTTTACATAGTTCTTACCTTAGAGCAGCAATTTTCAACCTTCTTCATCTCATGGCACATGTAAGCTAACCACTAAAATTTTGCAGCACACCAAAAAATGTATTTTTGCTGATCTGATCAAAATAAAAATAGGTATAACTTTGATTCATTCACCCAGATGGCTACTGTGTTGGCTGTCATTTTTTCATTTGACAATAAGGGAAAAGAAGTCAGTGCCCTGGATTAAGTAGCCATGTATTGCAAGTTTTAAGAATTCTGCAGCACACCAGATGAACAATTACTGCCTTAGATCAGTGATGGCCAAACAGTGGTCTTCCGACCACTGGTGGTCTGCGAAGTCCGAAAGGTTGGCAACCACTGCCTTAGATGATAAAATAATTTGGACGTTTCTACCCTCCTTGACATTTTTGGATTTTCTACACCAAGACGCACTTTTCTCTCACCCGTCACATCTTACACATTAAATAACAGTTATTGAAACTTAAAAGAGTCTAAATTTGATTAACTATCCACTAATAGTTTCCCCGAGGGAAGGAAAAGTTTTTATACTTCATTGTATTCTGATCACTCAGCCCTGTTCCTGCCCCGGTAGGTGGTGTTTAAATAAATGAACAATATGACCTTTTATCATATCCCATTTTTCAACCAAAGCAGAGGAGTAAAAGATGAAGTTGGATTAGTGTAACAAAATAGAAAGGCCAATTTTACTCAAGAAGCTTTAATAAAAGGCAAAATGACTACTGGAATTGTATTTAAATTAACATTTATTAAGCGCTTACCAGGTGCCTGGCATTATTATAAGCACTTTATGTGTGATATCTCACTTGTTTCTCACAATTCTGTGAAGTGGGGACCACCATCCCCATTTACAGATGAAGAAAGCGGCAAATAGGTATGTATAACCATTTGTCCTGGCCACTCTGCCAAATCCAGACACTGACCACAGAATCTGTATTCTTAACCGCCATGCTATTCTGCAATTCCTGGCTATGGCTGGCTCTACGTTCAACCACTGAGTCAAATTTCAAAAAATGCATTTCTCACCACTCTGACTTAAAAAAAAATACCAAATTCAAAAGGAAAAGAATGTATTACACCAAGAGATTCAATGCCCAGATTTTTATGTAGATAACTCCCTTCGTCTTTATTGCACATTGCTGACTACAATTTTTCCATAGCTTCTTTGAATAAAGACTTCAAACTTAACTGTACAGAGTATCAAATTTGGGGAAGAGCAGTTACGCAAATACCATGATGACATGCCACAAGTTAGGACCATTTTTGGCCAGTCATGTTTAATCTGTGGCTGTACATGATGTCAGGGCACATCTACGGTCTTAACTTCCTTGAAGACCAAAATCCATGAACTGTCCCTTCTCAAGCGGCTCGGAGTATTTTAAATCTGGAGGCTTCGTCAAATCAACCACAAATGCTCAACATTCCATACCTGCTCAAAAGCTGAGGGAGACTAGAGATGATGGGTCCGTATCCGGGGGCGTTGTCATACAACTCAAACAGAGGCGCGGCTACCAGCTTGTAATTCTTAGGGACTGCAAACAAGGCTAAAAGAAAACAAAGCAGTACTCATTTTCTCTGATTTCTTACATAATCAGTTTCCACTTCATTTGTAATCACCAATTTTACATGTGAGAAACATTTGTGGAAAAAGGTAATCTCAATACATTTTGGTTCAGTCTTTTAAGCAAATTCATAGTGAGAGCTTTGAAGCTGATTCTCTAAAGAGATCCGTACTACTACGGTATTAACAACCAAGAACACCTGATGTAAGTTCTGACCCCGAGAGGAAGGGGAGAAATAATTTGTAATTTATTTTGGATTCCCCTTTAAGAATATTATAAGAAATGGGATAATTATTTGTTAAAATGCACAATAAGCCTAAAGACGCTATTTTTTTTTTTTTAAATAAAAATTCATCTGGTACTTTAGGCTCTAGTTAAACTTACTTTCTCGCCCTAGCTGGTGTGGCTCAGTGGATAGAGCGTCAGCCTGCAGACTGAAGGGTCCCAGGTTCGATTCCAGTCAAGGGCATGTGCCTGGGTTGCAGTCTTTATCCTCAGTTGGGGGAGGGGGATGTGCAGGAGGCAGCCAACCAATGATTTCTCTCGTCATTGATCTTTCTCTCTCTCTTTCTCCTTTCCTCTCTGGAATCAATAAAAATATACTTAAAAAAATAAACAAATAAATTTACTTTCTTCCCAATAGTATATCACTGGCATATCTATGAGAAAAACTAGGTAGTTCTGTATCAACTTGCTTTGTGTTTTTAAAAAACTCAAGGAAATTGAAGAAAAGACAAATAGAAGTATCCTTGAAATTATTCTATAAAAGTTTTTAGATGGCTGCATTCAAAAACAAAAAAAAAAACCTACCTTTCTCTTGAAGTTGAACCAAAAACAACTTCTTATGTTCCTTAGGTTTTGTAATATGCGCAGGAATATATGGATACTAAAATAATAAGAGAATAATTTGTTGTTGCCAAATCATCCCTTATACCTCCATGCCTCTATTTATCAAATTCTTCCATTTCAGACATTAAGTCCAAATATAAGCCCACTGAGGCCAAGTTCCTCACAACTCCAACATAATTTATTTTAACATATATCCTGTAACTTCATTTATTTCTTTACATGTTTATCCCCAAACAGTGCTGCTGAGAGAACCAGAATCCTTTCTAGTCTTCTCTTTACCAGGATCTAATACCTAACGGATGTACTAATAAAGAAATGCTTTAATTAATATAAAACAACAAATAGTGAACTACTCAACCATTCAAGACAAACAGGTAGACACAGGATTTACAGCTTGAGAAATTTACAACACAATTAAGTCTAATATTTTTAAAAAGTTGTTTGTTTTTCCTGCAAATATCATTATTAATTTAAATTACTAGAATCCTGATGTGCTCCTTTCCTTTAAGCCTTTTTCTCTAGTCATCTTGGTGTTTAAGTCAATTGTGCTTTACAAAAAGACATAGATACAAAGATGGTGCTCATTTTCCCCAACACCTAACCAATACGCCAAGTTTACTAAAACACAACCCTTATGTTATATCTTACAGAGCTGACACTAGGGTTTAATAAATTAAGGGAATTGTCCTGGGACCATGGCAGGGGACGTGAATGAGACTATTCAGAAAGTAGCCTGGAGAGCTTTTGGGTTTTGACTGAGCATTTTCCAGTTAGATCCAGGAATGTACAAAAGTTTACAGCAATTGTTCTGTGCATCCTTTGACCAGGAACTCCATTCATTTCCGGATGAAATTCTACTTTCTTAAAGCCAACACAATTCTCAGGCAGTGAGCACAGCACAGCTTCCATCGCACCTCATCTTCCTATCCCTCGGCTCTACTGGGAAGTCAGAAGGAAGAGGACAGACAGAACAATCTTTAGATTGGCCAACATTTTGTGAAATTCTTAACCTGGGATGTCTCGTCATGCAAAGAAGCTATTAAAGTCATAGAGCCTGGCCAAAAGAATTCAGGATCCAACTTCAAGTCTCTATTCTTTCCTACACAAACTCTACTTCAGGGTAACCAAGTACTTGATGGGAAAAGTTCCTCTTTATTTAAGGATCAGAATACCAATGAAATGGAAGATGCAGGAAACTGTATCAATGAGCTAATAACATTACAAAGGAGACAATCTGACATTACAACATTTCTGATAAAAGTACACAATACCACCCTTGATAGCCAACCTCCAAAATGACTCCCATGGTCTCAGTCTCCTTCCTGGTACCCACACCTCTGTGTAGTTGTCTCCCGCAGTGTACTATGTGGGTTTGTGTGACTGACAGTATACAGCAGAAATCATAGTTTGTCACCATCAACATCAGATTATAACAGGCTGTAGCTTCCTAGTTGGGCACTCTTTCTGTCAAAGTCTCCATCTTGTGGATCACACACTGGGGGAAGCCAGCTGTCTTACTGGGAGTTGCCCTAGGATGCTCTCATGGCAACTGAGGAAGGTCTTAGGTCAACACCCAAGAAGATGAGGCCTTCAGTCCAGCAGCCCAGAGGAACTGAGAGGTCTGCTAAGAATCACACATGTGAGCTTGGGGTCAGATACGTAAGCCTCAGTTCAGCCTTGAGATGACGCAATCCCAGATGACAACTTGACCAAAACTTCACAAGAGACCATGAGCCAGAAACACCCAGCTAAGCAGCTCCAGATGCCTGACCCTGAGAAACTAAGATAATAAATGTTTGCCGTTTTAGACCGCTAAGTTTCAGGGTAATAGATTAGGCAATAGTAAATAATATTACCTCCTCTGGTGAGCCTTGCATTCCCCTCCCAAAAAATTGAATCCAAATTTAATCTATTGACCTAACTATCAATTACAGGAGAAGATAAAGAGCTACATGTTCAATGACAACAGGAAATGCAATCAGCAATAGAAACACTACACTCTCTCTAAAAATATCAATTTTAAAAAAAGAAAAAACAGGGAACCAACTTGTAGATGTAAAAAAGACTTAAGAGATTATCCTAATTCAAATAAATTAACAATAAAATTTTAAACTATAAGGAATATGTGAACAGTAACTACATGTTTAAAGACATTATGGATTTATTTTTATTATTTTAAAAAATCCTTATCTTTCAGAGACACGCACTGGAAAATTTACTATTGAAATTATATCGAGGATTTGCCTCCAAACAATCTCAGCTCTTAACTGAAGTTGGATGACAGGTAAAGGATATATTCACTCTTACTATTTTCTGGACTTTTGTGTAGATTTGAAATGTTCTTTTAAAGAAAAAAAATTTCTATTAAGAAAGATAAAAAGAAAATTTCAAGTTTAAGTCTACTATGATATTTCTATTTTATTTTTTTACTATGATCTTTTTAAATGGCTGGAATTAAATCCATTTCCTACTTCCCCAAGTGCCCAGCAAATACAACTGAACACTGACCTGAGGAGGTTCAAAATTTGGTCTCCACCAGTTACCAATGCAGTCATCAATGACCCAGTCTTGCAGGACTCCATCTTGACGACCTAGTATCTGTGAGAAAAGAAATGATACAGCCAGTGAACAATAAAACGTACAGGCCCGCACACTCTTCTTCAATGAAGAGATTTTTTTGGCAGCCCTCCTAATAGATACATGCTTTCCATATGGGCTTCCTTTCTATAATCTCTTATTTATTACTGTATGTGTCACCCTGACCAAGACATACACTATTAGTTCAAAACTAACAATCTAGCATTGACATGACCAGAGAGGCCTGACAAATATTGTTATACCCTGACTATACTTTAAAAAAAAGAAAGATAATCAATTACCTATATTAGCCAATGTTATAGAATAGTTTTTATAAAATCAACTATAGCTTCTGTATGTCACCTATCCGACGAAGTTATAAAAGTGTGCAAAACTCAAAATGTTTCTTTTTATGATTCTGTATAACATTAAACTTACATTGTTTTAAGCAAAGCTGTACTCTACATTTTAATTAGTCAAAAATGGTTCTAAAAGTTTCATAAGAACAAAGAGCAGTTCCCTACCCCACTTCACCCATTACCACTGGCTGTAACTCTCAACTCTTAAGTGTTTTACCCTGATATTTGCCTCTATTTTTAAAAGCATTCAAAATTCTAGAGGGGCCTACCCTGGAACAAAACTACCTGCATTCAGAGCTCCAGCATCAAGACCTACTGGATAACACCAACAAGTTACTTGAACTCTCGGTGCCCATTTTCTTATCAGTAAAATGGAGTTAATAGTAATACCTACTCCCTAGGGCTGCTGTGACAACTAAAGAAGTTATTGTATGTAAAGCACGTAGTATAGCACAGTAAGTACCCAATAAATATTGACCTTTGTTAACCATTACTGTTACATAAACACTTCAAAGAAAAAAATAAAAGTTTAAGTTCAACTTCTGGAAAATAAACATTGTACATATTAACACTGGGATTTAAGTTTGTGGGGTTTTTTTTTTAATATATTTTATTGATATATTTTTTTTTACAGAGAAGAAGGGAGAGGGATAGAGAGCTAGAAACATCAATCAGCTACCTCCTGCACAACCCCCTCTGGGGATGTGCCCGCAACCAAGGTACATGACTTTGACTGGAATTGAACCAGGGACCCTTTAGTCCATAGGCCAACACTCTATCCCACATGTGTCAAACACAAGGCCCGCGGGCCAAATCCGTCCCTCCAGGCCTTGCAATGTGGCCCGCACCGCGCTGTCATCACTGCACTCCGCTGCGTTTCCATCACAATGACAGTTTATGACTGTTCAGTAAACCATTCGGCCCGCGATTTAGGCTGGATTTTAGATTTTGGCCCCTTCTCTGATTGAGTTCGACACCCCTACTCTATCCGCTGAGCCAACCCAGTCAGGGCAAGTTTTATTTATTGAAAAGTAATCGTCAAAATAAACTTATCCTTTTCAGAAGACATAAAAAGCCTAATTATCTAGTAAGTTGGTGGTATTAACAAGAGCAATAATAATAACCGTCCAAGTGGTTAAATAGAAAAATACCTCCGTCATTAAGCGTTTTAGTCCTTCCACTTCGTCTTCTCCTGGGTTAAGTTCACCACCAGGTCTGCATAAAGGTTAAGAATTTCAGCTTTCAACTCAATACAATTTTGGGATAATAGGAAGAAGACAGTAATAGTTATTTCTATCAAGTAACTGAACAGCACACATATTCCAGGGTCACATGATAGGCAATCAAAGCGAAGGGGAAGAATATGCTAGAAATAGAAAGCTGAATTCACATTAATTCACCAGACTAACCAGTACACAAACGCTAATTTTAAACAAAATATGTAGCATAATGTAAACATTACATAATTGCTGACCATCAGTCCACCCCATCTCTTTTCCCGGGGAAGCTATCTAGCGATAGTGAAGTCTGGAAACATCCAGAGAGCAGTGAACCACATTCTTTTGGTCTGAAGAATGGGGCATTTTTCCAGAACTCCAACCTAAATATAACTCCAACCTAAATATTTGAGACCTCTCTTTTGGTACAATCTGGTCAAATAGTTGTGAACTAAATGTGTATCAGGAAATCTATAAGCTTAAATGGTAAAACTAGAAATTTATCCATAAAAAATGTAAGTCATTTGAAGAACAGGAAACACTATTTATCCTAAGAAATAACATCCATTGTTCGTAGCGATGCAATAATGACATCTAGTAATAGGACTTGGACCAATTTGTTTAAGAGGGCTCCTGTCAAGCTCAGTCATTAATATCAACAACATCGAGACACGTGGATTTCTAGTGAGGCAATAAGTGAGCGTTGCCCTGAAGAAAAATTACTTGTGATTTTTCTGTTTCTGAAGACTCCAAGAACAGCCCTGTTTGTTGAGATAAATGTCTACAGTAAAAACTATATTCCAACGCTGCTTAAGACAGCAACCTTCCTGAAAGCTGTCTTGCTGTTCATTTCCAACAACACTTACAGTTTGAAGAAAGTTGTTCCCAGCTGGAGCAGTAGCACATGGGGCAGTCGGTGCTCATGTACAATCAGAACCCCTTCCACAGTCCTCCTCATTCCAATTTTGTCAAATTCCTCCCTCATGCGTTGAAATCGGGCTGCAACAGAGCTGTCCTTCTCATAGAGGGGCTCTTTTGTACCAAAAGTATAATTGGTAAGAGGGTACCTGTGATCCAAAGACAAGCTACACATGAGAACCGGGACCATAATTCACCATCATAGATACAACCATACAACATATACATATGTACGTATATAGAACATATGTATATGGTAGATAGTGTATATATTGTACTCAGAGACATAGGATTTCTCCAGAGTTACACTACTTGTTAATGAAACAGCAGAGACTAGAATCCATATCCTGGAACTCTAAAGCTTGAGCTTCTATTAGATTAAGCATATACACCACTATCCGTAAGGCCCTTAAATATTATCTGCACATCTGATAATCCTCTGGTTTTAGGTTGTGGCTAGTATAACAGCATTGCCAAGCTGGCTAATGTCCATTTGGGCTCCTCTTACAGGTAATCAGAAATTCTATTAGCTTACATGCTAATCTCTTTTGTCTAAAAGTGGAGCTACCACTTCCATCATCTCTTCCGTTTTTTTCTACTTCTCCCAGTCAAATATCCGCAGACTTCTTTAGTACCCTTTCCTCTTTAGACGAACTTTTCTTTCCCTCTAAAACCTTCTAGCCTTCTGCATTTATTTCATTCATTACCCTTATTCTTCCCTTCTCTTCATTCATATCTCCGACCCAATCTGAATATTCTCTCCTTCTTTATCAGAATATGCACAAATTTTGAAGACCATTTTCATCTTGCCTAGCAAAGACCAAATTTTTCCTTAAAACTACCATATTTATATTTTTATCACACATATCACCTTGTAACCCCTCAATCAGGAGACTTATAGTAAGAAGCCTCTAGTTAAAAGCCTTTGAGTAAAAATGCTTTACCACATTGTCCATCCCCAAGATATGTATTCTATAAAAACGCCTTGACATTCAGTCAGTAACTACATAACTAGTCCACTCTGCTATTCTTGAAAGGGGTTGCCAAAACGTAAGAAAGTTAGTTTGAGCCCAGCCATGTGGCTCAGCGGAGGTCAGGGCACATGCCTGGGATTGGGGGCTCAATTCCCAGTGAGGAGGTGTGCAGGAGGCAGCTGGTCAATGATTCTCTCTCATCATTGATGTTTCTATCTCTCCCTCTTCCTGTCTGAAATCAATTAAAATAAATGTTTTTGGGGGGGAGAAAAGGACTTACTTTCAATTTGCTCACACACATGAATTGATTTACAACACAATTCTGAATACCACATTTATATAGGAGAGAAAAAGTACTGTAAATCCATCAACACATAACTTTAATGGAGCAAAGATTAAAACATTTTCACCAAATTAATTCTGCGTAATGGCTTAGTGCAAACTGATCCAATAACCAAGGCAAATCAAGGGAAAACTGTGAGTCCCGGTTCTAATCACCACTCCGGAGCTGTGCTTTCTCTTTGTTTAAAAGGGGAACATTTGTCTTTCCCACATGATGGGAATCTTATGAGGATTTTTAAAAGCAGTAATGTGCAATTAAAATATATTTCGGTAACATAATATCTATCTATTCACTTGTATATATGCAACTATACCAATTCCAGGTTTCATAAGCCCCAAAGTTTCATTATCTACATTTCCAAGTCAGCATCTGTTTTGCCAAATAAAACAATAACCATCCTTTCAATTTCAATTCGCTTTTGAGGGAAATTCATTTATTTGAATGTGAAACAGAGAAAACATCTAAAGTGTCTATCAAAAACACCAATATCAGAAAATCCTTGCACCTTTTTTTAAAAGCTATGTTGTTATTGATTTGAGAGAGAGAGAAGAGGATAGAGAGAGGGGGGGGGAAAAAAACACTAATGAGAGAAAGAAAAATATCAATAGGCTGCCTCCTTTACAACCCCTCTCCCCGCCCCCCACGGGGGATGGAGCCCTCAACCCCGGGCCTCGAACCCTGACCAGGAGTCAAACCGGAGACCTTCTGAAGCTCCCCCATCTGAGGAGCTGCACACCCAGGGCAAACCCTTGCACCTTTTACACGCTGACCAGAACTAAATGGCCATTTCCTCCATGAAGGCCATCATCACAAGTGCCTCTCAAACTCTCAGGACAACTTCTTGACAATTACCTGCCACCGCGAGATTACTAGTGAGGGTGGCCTCCACATGCAACGGCTTTAAGTGCTTAAAACAGAAAGATGTAGATGACAAAACGCAGCTACCACGGGTTCCCCAGGGTTACACTGGAGACTCCTCCAAGGTCTTAAAGCCCAACCGTCTCAGCACCCACCCTCCCAAGCGGATGATGGGTGGCTGGATGGCTCTCCCCGCGGCAGAGAAGCCCTGTGCATGCACAGGGCAGGCCAGAGAGCCCTGAGCACGCGAATAACATGTGTGTGCATGCGCTGAAATGCACAGAATTGAAATTTGGGCCGTTAGGAAGAAAGAAAAGGAAAAAACTAACGCTAAGCGTTAAAGCTACTGTGAAGACATCATATTTTGCGGGTATCTGTGGGGAGGTGGAGGAAAAGAATGAATTCAAAGCAAACTATGGTTCTTCTTCCTATGAATACAGGCGCATGGGAACCACACTTCTTTCGGGAAAAGAAAAAAACCCTTGCAAGTAAGACAGGGCTCGAACCCTTTGGCGCTAGGGAAGGTGGAAGGGGCCTGCGGGGGGAGGCATAGAGCTCCGGACGGGTGAGCCGGCGATGGGGCTCGGGCAGGCCGGGCCGCACTTACAGGTTGATGGTGCGCTCCAAGGTGAGGGGCTTGGTCTGCTGGATGTACTTGTTGCCGAACTGGTTGACCCCCCGCGGCCAGCCGGTTTGAGAGCGATTGGGCGGCACCACGGACATGCTGGCGAGGACCGGCGGCGAGGACTGGCGGCGATCGGAAAGCGGGGGAGAGGAGGAGAGGCAGGGAGGCTTTCCCGGCGCGGGCAGCGGTTATCTGCGGGCCCGCTCAGCAGCCGCCGCCCGCCATTAACGTGAGATCGCTAGAGAAGGCATCCGTACGCCGGAAGTGCCTCCAGCGCCTCGGGCGGCCGGAAGTAGAGAGGCGGGAGCCAGCCTAGGCCGAGCACCGCTGGCCCGGTGGCTAGTGGGATGTCGGACGTCTTGAGCTCCCATTGGTAGAGCAGGTATGGGTTCCGCCTCCTCTTGCCTTTGGCGCTTCCTATTGGGTGGCGCTGGGAAAGAGTGCATTCTGGGAATTATAGTCTCGGTGAGCTGCTTGGTCTGGGTGTCGTGGGGTCTGCGGCTGCTGAGGAGATGACTGGGAAACGGCCCCCCGACCCTCACCCGGACCGGATGGGGAAGAAGAGGAAGAAGGAGGTGACGGTGGAGTTTTCGGACGCTGTCAAGGAGGAAGCCTTGAAAAAGCGGGTGGCCGAGGCCTGGAGGGGCAGGACGCCGCTCAGTCACGGTAACCGGGTGCTGGGAAGGGGGAGCCACCATGCGGGGCCCGGGGCCTCGGCAAGTCCTGGCGCTGGAGCCCAGCCGGGGGCAGCGGGGCCACAGGGATGGATGGAGGCTGTTGGAGAGAGCGTGACTTGGGCACCTCCGACCCTCCGGCCTGGCCTGTGCCCCGCTGTCGTTGCGAGTTCGGTTTGGAAGTAGAAGCCCGAGAGGAGGTGGGCGTGCAGGTCGGATTGTTCCCGGAAGTAGAGGGCGTGCAAGTTCTCGGCTGAATTCTGGAAGCAAAGGCTCCTCGTGGAATTCTCGAAGCCCTCCACTGGCTGTGCGTGGTCGTCGTCGGTGGGTTTAACTTTTTAAAAACTCGAGTTCCTTCCGGTGTAAAATGGGATAGCTAAATAGTATTTACCTCGGAAAGACCTTGAATGAGATTAGTGAGCTAATGCGTGTAGGTATCTGACAGTGTTTCCCTGAAGAAGCACCAATAAGCATTGGGACACACATCTGAGTGGCTTAGGTGATGTTTTCCTGTGAAGGCGGTGCTGGGCTGGGCTGGCCCGGGATGGTGCAGCCAGAGCTTTTGAGCGTACTCGGTTTTGGTTTTTGTTTTTTAATATATCTTATTGATTGTTTACAGGGAGGGAGGGAGAAGGAGAGGGATAGTTAGAAACATCGATCAGCTGCTTCCCGCACACCCCCTACTGGGGATGTGCCTGCAACCAAGGAACATGCCCTTGACCGGAATTGAGCCTGGGACCCTGCAGTCCACAAACCAACGCTCAATCCGCTGAGCCAAACCGGTTAGGGCTATTCTGGCTATTTTATGCCCGGCTCCCGCCCGCCTTGGCCGACCTGGCGCTACCCGCTGGCAACCCCCCCAGCCCCGTCGCTGGTGTAGACCTGCGGGTTGGGGGCAGCTCCTGTCTTAGCATCTGCCCCCTGGTGGTCAGTACTTGTCATAGCGACCAGTCCTTCCACTGTTCAGTCGATTTGCATATTAGGGTTTTAGATAGATGAAAGGTAGGTACCGTGTTTCCCCGAAAATAAAACATCCTCCGAAAATAAGCCCTACTTACAGGTTTCCTTCTGAGTGAAATATAAGGTATCGCCCCAAAAATAAGGCCCCCCCTAGGCTCTGTCTCAGAATGCTATTGCTAAACATGAGAGATTTGGTCCACTGATTCTGAAAGAAATGGAGTCACAAGAAATTCACCAGGAAATTCAGGAATTGGATTGTTATGATGATGTTCCAGAAGATGATGACATGATTGTCATTGAATAAATGAGTAAATTCTTGATACTGTAGGATTCACAGTTTGTCTGGTTTGTGTTGACAACTACCGTACTACCGTACCGTATACAGGTAATAAATTTCCTTTATTTTCATTTAACAATAAATGTGTACCGTATTCTTCATGGAAAAATAAGACATCCCCTGAAAATAAGATCTAGCGCATCTTTGGGAGCAAAATTAATATAAAACAGTCTTATTTTGGGGGGAAACAGGGTAGGTAGGTGATAGATGATAAGTAGATAGATAGATAGATAGAACGAACCACTTGGCCTATGAAAGTAAAACGTGTTGTAGGAGGAAGGAACCTACAACCTACAGCCTTCATGTGTCACCTTATAGCATAAGAACTCCACGATGCATCATGCTTTCCCTTCTAAAGTTCGCAGTGATTTTTGTGTGGTGAAGTGCTCAAAGCGGTGAGTCCTGGGGGCTCTGGATGCACGTGGACAGTGACAACCCAGCCGTAGGCAGCTGCCTAGGTTGCCTTGTACTTAGGTACGTGTTACACTGCTGGGAGAGCAGCAGCCGCAAGCTGGCTGGCATCCTGGGCCTGGTTCCTACCCACTCTGTTGTTAACTATACCAGGATGCCCGCATAATTGAAAAAGCAAAGAAAGACATGATAGCTCAGTGTTTAAGGATTTCTCATTGTCCTCATCTGTGGGATGGAGACAGTGATCACGTCTGCCTTAGCATGGTGGGAAAATTAAATAATGCATGCAAAGCACCACCGTGCTTGGCGCTGGTGTGATTATTAGATGGTACATAATATAGCCCAACAGAGGCAGTGGGTAAAGTGACTTAGAAGGGGTTATGCCTGAACTGGTTTTTTGTGGGTTGTTTTTGTTTTTGTTTTAACCCACAAAGTGTATATGTTCTAACTGTCTTGGACAATAACTTAGGAAAAGAAAAAGGGTTGAGGAAAATTGCCAGCCAGTATTGCTATTCTCATTTTTAATTGGCTACTCTCGTTTTAAATGTGGTGGGGAGGGGGTGATATATTCAAGACTTTAAAATATATTCAGTTCGCCGGAACCAGTTTGGCTCAATGGATAGAGTCTGTGGACTGAAAGGTTTCAGGTTCGATTCCCATCAAGGGCATGTACCTTGGTTGCAGACACATCCCCAGTAGAGGGTGTGCTAAGAGGCAGCTGATTGATGTTTCTCTCTCATCGATGTTTCTAACACTCTATCCCTCTCTCTTGCTCTCTGTAAAAACTCAATAAAGCATATTAATATATATATATATTCAATTCAACAAGTAAACATTAAACAAACCCTCCAGCCCCCCCAATTTTAAGGCCTAATATTTTAAGCACGGTATCATTAAAAAGTAGTTTTGGGTGGGTAAAGAAAAAAAAGGGAACAGCTTATAATCCCCCACATCTGAGACTTCAGGTATTAGATTCCTAAAAATTCATGACCATCCCCTTTTGTATTCTCTGTACTATGCTACTCAGGGGTCAAAAATACAAACGAAAAATAAGCCATACTGTTTTCTTCCCAATAGAAGCCATTATCATGGACACGGACCCCTTTCTTCATTGCGTGATCCCAAACTTCATCCCAAGTCAAAACTTCTTGGAAGGGCTTCAGAAGGAGCTTTTGAACTTGGACTTCCATGAAAAGTATAATGATTTATATAAGTTCCAGCAGGTATTTATGACCTTTTCCATTCGTTCTTCCACTTTAGAAACCTATTTACAAAAAAGTCATTCAGTATCTTTACACTTGAGGTTTTACCTTGGAGCGGCCTTGCCTTGATGTTGTGACTCATATATGAAGGAAATCCTTTTTTTCTCTCTCTCTCTTTCATGGTTAAGTCTGATGATTTGAAGAAGAGAAAAGAGCCTCACATCTGTGCTTTAAGGTAAACAAGTAATCATATTTGTTGGGTGCCTGGTATGTGCCAGGCTGGCTAGTAAGTGCTTTAAAATGTTATGTCTTAAATCTCTGTGGATGTATTACCCTATTTTGTAGAGGAGGAAACAGCCTCTGAGAAATTATGTAACTTCTTCAAGGCCACCCAGGTAAAAATTGAGGGAGCAAGGATACAAGCCTGAGTGTCTGATCCCAGGGTCCAATTCTCAGTGATAAAATGTTCAGCTTTGTTTGTAGTCCAGGCAACAAATTAACACTGAAATTACCATTCTTCACATATTAGGTTGGTAAATATTAAAAACAAAAACTCCCACTCTGACAGGTTTGGCTCAGTGGATGGTGCGTCGGCCTGCGGACTAAAGGGTCCCAGGTTCGATTCTGGTCAAGGGCATCTACCTTGGTTGAGGGCATATCCCTAGTGGGAGGTATGCAGGAGGCAGCTGACTCTCTATCCCTTTCCCTTCCTCTCTGTAAAAAAATCAATAAAATATATTTTAAAAATAAAAACAAAAACTCCCATGTTGATAGAAGTATAGTAGATGCCTTTATACACTGCTGCAGTCTTTCCTAGAAATGATTTTGAAAGATGTATCAAAGCCCTTCAAATCAGGCTTTCTCTTTTTGTAATGTGATTCTACTTATAAAAATTTATCCTGAGCAAATAATTAAGGATGTGCCCTGGGAATATTAGCCCTAAACTATGCAAGTTTAAAGTGAGGGAGACTCTTGGAAATAGATCTCTTGAATAAACAGCAACCTCCAGGAAAAAACAGTTGTGACATATACACAAATGTAGGCCACACTATGGCATCACAGGTTATCTTGTTTGCATTTCTAGGAAAATTCTGTTTGAAGATTTCCGGGCTTGGCTTTCTGACATAACCAAGATTGACCTGGAATCAACCATTGACATGTCCTGTGCCAAATATGAATTCTCAGGTAAGAAAGATAAAGCCCTGATGTCTGTAAGAGTTAAAGCCTTATCTAAACAATAGTAGAAAGATAGTCTCAGTATATCAAAATCCTGGACTGTGTCCCTGTGTATCATTAGGATCTTACTAAGGAAGATCTGACCTGGCTCCTATACAGAAGCGCCCTTCGTATTGGAAGGTATAAGGCAGTGGTTCTCTTTGGGAATATGATGAAAGCTATTGACCATATTTTCAGGAAAATGCTGATAACATACACACCAACTTTCCATACCATATGGGAACTTCAGAGGTGATATTGTAAACTCTCCTCTTAGACTGCTTAAGGAACAAATGTCCCCCTCAAAGTAATTTTTTTCTTTATAAGTTTGAAGTTAATAAGTGAATATACTCTTTAAGGAAAACATTTGAAACAATATAGAAATATACAGTGTAAACCTTGATAGTCCCCTTCACATGTGTCTAATTCCAGCCCCCCAACCCGCTATCTCTTCAGAGGGATTCACTGTCACCAG